AATGTAACCATCATTATGGCGTAATGTAACCATCATTATGGCGTAATGTAACCATCATTATGGCGTAATGTAACCATCATTATGGCGCAATGTAACCATCATTATGGCGTAATGTAACCATCATTATGGCGTAATGTAACCATCATTATGGCGTAATGTAACCATCATTATGGCACCATTAGGTAGAGTTAGTTTTAAATAAAGGCGAGTTTTCTCGCGCGTTGTAAAAAAAAAGACGTGCATTTAATGGACGGGATAAACGGTTGATGCTGTGGAGAATTCGCTTTTACTGGTGAAGATAAATACATTTAAACCGAATTAACCGGTCGAAGAGAACAAAAAAACTAAAATCTTATAGATGTGGCGTAAACAAAAACTGTCTTCTCGTCTAGATGTGATCTGATCGATGGCGTAGCAACGTCATTGTCAAGTCTTTTTTCTGGGGCGAGTTTAAGTGCTGGAGGAATACCAGTTCACAGACATACCAGCCATACGAATACTCGCCATGGCACAGGAACACCAGCTCATATGAATACCACCAGGTCATAGGAATACCAGGACCAGCTCATTATCACTATAGGAATTCCAGTTCATATAAAGACCAACTCAAAGGAATATCAGCTCAAATGAATAACATGTCATAGGAATAGCAGCTCATTATCATCACATGCATACCAGTTTATAGAAATACCAACTCTAAGGAATACCAGCTCACAAGACCAGTTCATAGGCGTATCTCCAAGCACGTATATTATCTCGTAAAAATGATACTCGATTTAAGCTATAGATCGACGTACACAGTATTGTCACAACATTCGCATTGCTATTATATAGAGTAAAACCTGGAGAACGGGACGATGTAATCATTCTCCATTACAGTCTTTAGAACATTTTCAAAGTCAGAGCTTTCAAATATCTCAAATCGGAATCTGAAACGGTTGGAGGAAAAACATGGAGCGTCGGTCTTTTTTTTGTTTTGTTTATAAAAAAAAATTATAGATATACGCAAATGCATGACGTCATATGAAGAAATTGGAGATCAAGGACTTTGTGAGATACCTAGCGACAAGGACCTCCAAATTTCGACTGTGTAGGGCTAGGAGTCGGAGTCTCCGCAGTTCTTAATCCGTCACTGATTTTATCTCGTACGAAAAGAATCCCTCCACCCTTTTTTCCCCCCTCAACCCCACCCTTTCTGTCTGAATTCCATAAAATGACACATGGCCTCCTGAAGAAACGCTTGCATTATTTCCTGCATCATTGATTATTACTGTGACGCAATAGTCCTCGTTCAATTTTTACTCTCGCTTTATTGCATAACTCACAACGAACCGGTGGAGCCTGTCGCGTGGTTAAAGTCACGGTTACGTGGGTTCCAGGTTTAGCACCAGTCCATCCGTGTGTTGCTTGATAAACTTTGGCTAAAGACAATCAATAGGGCCAAGAATTATCTTTATTTAAATATATATATATTTGTGTGTGTGTGTTTCTTCTATTACAATCACATGTATCAGCTTAGGATAACTGCATCCTGTGATGCAGCAGGGGCGATAAACCAACTCGGCTAGTTACTGAACAGCGATTTCCTTTGAGGCAAGAGATGTGATTAATAGTTATTAATAAGTTATTTAATAAGCAATAACTATCCTGACTTGAAGCAACGTGGCTGGGAATTGAAGTCGCGTGATGAAGATAACATGTATTTGCTGTAAATAGCTTCAGGTGGGTTCTCATGTTCTTAACGACGGAGCTCAACTTTTAATATCGACAAGCGACTTTGTCTCACTTTAAAAATAAAATAAAAAGAAATATAGAATCGTGTATGGGAAGTGTAGCTAGCCCGTAATCAGTTAGGAGGCTGAGAGTTTTTTTAAGGGTACAGTTTATTCGTATGGGTTATAGGCCTACATCTTTTTCTTCTTCTTCTATGTCGTGACGCCCCACGATCAATGTGTTATTTATTCTGACTCCTATTTATGGTAAGTTGTAAAGTTTAAATCGTACTCAAACTAAGTTAAATACAATTTTTTTTAAAGCTATACTTTTTTTTTTTATAATTAATGCTAAAATGTATATTACCCGGCATCTGTTGGTATCCTCAAGACTTTAATTGTGCCTTCCATTGGAAAGACACACACACACACACATGAACTAGAGACCAATGGCGGCATGAATGGGCCCGCGTTCTGGAACCAGCTCCCCTTCCATATACGTCATAGTGAAACCTCGTCCATTTTCAAAAAGTCCCTTAAAACTCATCTGTTTAGGTCCGCCTATGACCTGTGATGCACCCTCCTTGCCCTACCTCATTTTCTGTTTCGGGTTGATCCTGAAGTGTCAAAGTGTCCTCGTTTTATAGCCATTTTCATTGTTTCTATAGAATAGTAGTTACTATCCTAGTGTCTCATTTGTATTTACTTAGTTTACATGTTTTAATAATTGTAAAGCGCTTAGAGCTTTATGATAAGCGCTATATAAAAATGCCTAAATAAATAAATAAATAAAATAAAAAAAAAAATATTTCGAGCTTAAGTTATATAACATTTCGTTTAATTCTAAAATATACGTCTTTTTAAAATCCGTTTTAAAACTTCGCCTTTGTTGATGGCTAGTTGCCTGTCGGACACAATCTTCGGACGGTTAATTGACCCCTTTACTGTCAACCTATCGAGCTGAAACTTGGCACATAGACTCGTTGCCAATGACAACAGATTCTAGCAAATTTTCAGCCCCTACCCAACACCAAAAATAAGTTTTCCCTTTTTTTTCAAGGTAATTTGAGAAACAGATTTTACGAAATAAAATTCCCGACAACTGCTCTAAATGAGATTCTTATTTTTTTTCTTTTTAAAGTTTTCCCTTTTTTTTTCAAGGTAATTTGAGAAACAGATTTTACGAAATAAAATTCCCGGAAACTGCTCTAAATGAGATTCTTTACAAAGAAAAAAAATTCGCAAGTGCGTTTGGTGCGCAAAAAATGTTCTTTTATTTTGTCTGAAATAGTTGGTGAACACAATCTGCAGTGAAAAGTTGGTGGGACATTACACTATTGATATAAAATAAAATAATCAAACGTTCATAAAAGGATTTATATTAATTATACGAACAACTTTATTTTGTAAAGGGTTTAATTAATATATCAAATTCTTGTAGATTTTAACAACAAAAGCGATTTGAAAAAATATTTTTTATTATACGTGCGTGGGTGCCCATAAAATACAACCATGCCCTATGACGTTTACTAAGGGTGCCCTGTCCGTTTGTTAGTTTATGCATGGTCAAATCTTGCACACCTTTTTTGACACAGTCCTTGCTGACCAGTTGAGCTGAAACAAAAGAAACATTGAGTTCATGGGCGTCAACACCTTCAAAGGGAAAAAAAAAATAAAGGGGAAAAAAAAAGTCAAATGACTGCATCAGCTCTGAAGTCAAATGACTGGATCAACTCTGAAACCAAATGACTGTATCAACTCTGAAACCAAATGATACTCTGAAGTTTTGTGGGACGTTTAGTAATTTTAAAAAAAAATAAAATTTAGTACATTTTTGGAAAAGCTTGTGGTTTATAAACGAACGTTAAAATTATTGTTTTGAAAGTTATGTCATGATAACACTTAGTTGGCAGTGTCTGTATCATCCACATGGTTTTGTCACGATGCCTGTTTCAAAGAAATATGATAAGACTTAGTTGGCAGTGTCTGTATCATCCACATGGTTTTGTCACGATGCCTGTTTCAAAGAAATGTTTTTAAAATGTTTTAAAAAAATAATAAAAAATCCTAAGCTTATCTAAAACTATTTATGATTTGTTGAATTTCGGTAATGTTCTCTTACTTTATTTTCGTAAACATTTTTTAAGTTTTGATTTTTCTACAATTTTAGTACATTTATGTTCTTGTGTGCTTACCCACATCCGTTTTGGTCACAAGGCACCAATTAATTAAAGGATTGGCCGTTCGGAAAAAAAAAAAAATCTGTGTTCATACAAAGAGAGTGCAGGTCCGACCTTGTCCCCAGAAGGCAGACAAGACCCTCGAACCCATGACCCTGGTAAATGACTCGCGCCTGAGGGTGATAGCGCCACGGTCCGGTCGCTCACACATACCATAGTAGAGAGTGATGCAATCTATTTGGAATTAATTTTTATCTTTATCCAAGTCAGTTATTTTACCTGGAAACCCACTCCCCCCCAACCACGCCTCGGCATGCGATGAACGCCTCACCCCTCAGCCCTCCCCCCCCCCATGCCATGCAACACTGGCTCGTTACAATCCTACATAAACGCCTAGGGCGTTCCTCGCTGTTCTCTACTAAGTGGGGAGGGAATTGATTTCCTTATTTCCCCTCCAGTCGGGAGAACAAATTGATGCTGCTGAGAGTATTATTGAGGCTAACTCACGGCACAGCGACAGATCGTTAAAGGAGAGCAGGTGTACATTCTTTTGGTGAGTTTTGCTGTCAACAGATTTGATGTGTGTTGAGTTTACGAAACATCTCATTCCGATGAGGCCGCAAGAAGTAGATTTCTTTTAAGGTGAGTTGTAATGTGGAAAGCTTTTTAGAAATTTTATTTTTTCTTCTTCCTTCCTTTTGGTGCTTTTATTCGGCCACCTTTCTTCGTCGATCGCCTTTTTAAAAAAATAATCATGTAATCGTTATTAATGTTTACATTATTAAACGATAATATATACCTATATGGGAATGCGTTACAAAAAATTGTTTCATAGGTTATGTTTAGGCATGAAAAAACAAGGCAGCACAATTGAACGGACGTTTCGGCGAGATGCCTTCCATCAATGACAGATTCATTTAAATCAAAGATAAAAACGTAGGCTTTATTTTTAATTTAACTTTATCGATTTATTTACGCCATAATCCAGGTCTGCACAACTCAAAATGTAAGGCAGGCCGTAACAGTTTATGAAAAACTTGTGCGGGCCGTAATACTTTATTACAAGCTTGGGCAGGCCGAAAGATCAAAGGCAGGGGGGTGGGCAAGCTATTAAGAATATAATAATATTAAAGAATATTTCGTTACTTCGCAGGCCTCCAAGTGGATGAAAAAAACAATTAAAAAAAAAAAAACAAAAAAAACCCCAATGTTTGATCAATTTTTAGAATTTTTGAAAATTTTTATTATTAAAAAAAAAAAAATCCGCAGGAGATTTCTCTGCGATCTTTTTTGGGGGGAAAGTGGTGGGGGGGGGGCGCTCATATTAATTCAACAAGGTCAACTCGTGGTCATACTCGTGTGATAAACGGTGCCAAAGAGTGTGTCCAGTAAAGGGGAAGGGGGAGAGAAGGATATTATAACTTATCCAACCGAGAGCGCGGGTCAAATACAGACAAACGTGTTTGTCTTTTCTTCAGTCCTTTTTTTTTTAAACCCCTCCCATGGATCACAAACCAAACGTGGCGGCACTTTGACTTGCCGGTAATCGAATCCTCGAAGCACCGGCATCGGAGCGTCATGGAGTTGGTTCATCTCTTCATTCTTGGTGATCGTGACCGACATCATGGAACATCAGAGCAATGCTACACCCTGCCATCATTGAGAGTCATGGAGTTGGTTCATCTCTTCATTCTTGGTGATCGTGACCGACATCATGGAACATCAGAGCAATGCTACACCCTGCCATCATTGAGAGTCATGGAGTTGGTTCATCTCTTTATTCTTGGTGATCGTGACCGACATCATGGAACATCAGAGCAATGCTACACCCTGCCATCATTTGAGACGTTCCTCGTCTGGCTTTTTGTGTTGAGATGTCGACGAATCAATATTTCCCCCATGACATTTACATCAACGCTGTGCTACGTTGGGGGGGGGGTGTTTGTTTGATGATATCATGTGATTTCATTCTTCCTCTTTTTTTTTTTTTGTTCCTGGGTCAAAGTTAAAAATCAAAATTGCTCAGTAACTGTTCGGTGAGGGTAGTTTTTAAAAACGCACTATATTAAAGTAAAACAAAATTATGCGTTCAAAAATGGGGGGGGTTTTTTGTTTGATGATATCATGTGATTTCCTTCTTCCTCTTTTTTTTTTTTTGCTCCTGGGTCAAAGTTCAAAATCAAAATTGCTCAGTAACTGCTCGGTGAGGGTAGTTTCTCAAAACGCACTATACTAGAGTAAAACAAAATTATGCGTTCAAAAAGAGATTGGACGCACAATTTTAACGTGTGAACTGAAAAAAAAAAGAAAGATTCGACAAAATTTTCGTTCGATCAAATTTCCGTCGATCAATTTTCCGTCAACGAAATTTCTTTCGAACAAATTTCCGGATACGATATTTCTCACCTCACATTATTTCAAATATTAAAAAAAAAGATATGTCCATTTATTTAACTGAAGTGAGGACTACTACCGAAAAAAGTCGACATGGATTTCGCATATTTATTATTATCATTATTTTGTGTGTGTGTGTGTTTGTGTGTTCTGGTGATGTCACGGTGTTGCCATACCGCCTTCCCCCAACAATCGAAATACTGATTTGAGAAGTCCCACGATCGAGCTTGTCGGGGCCAAGTCATGTATAATGTAAGACAAGACGGGCTTCCCATGGCTGGGCATGAGATGGGAAATGAGGACTAAATTAATGAACCACAGTCGCACACGCGATGATGCTACCAAGACGATGATGCTACCAAGACGATGATGCTACCAAGACGATGATGCTACCAAGACGATGATGCTACCAAGACGACCGCAAAGACCAGTTTTTTTACAAATATTCTATACCACACATAGGCTTAATTCCCTTGGACGAAATGCCCCTGGCTACGCCGTTAGGTGTGCTGTGCACGGCTTCCATGAACAGCGTTAGTTTGTAAATTGCTTAAAATGCAGGTAAAATATCAATTTATTTCTGGAAAATTGATTAAAAATATTTGGGAAACATCGTAACCAGGAGGGCCGTGCGAAAGTTGTGAGAGGAGGGGGGGAGGAGGCAACCACTCAGTGCGCCAATTCTAGGGGGCGCCCAAATCGACAATTCACTACATTTATTTATCATAGTTCTTTTGTTGATAAAACGGGAAGGATGAAGTGGTCCTTGCAAGGGGGCGTCGCTTTTCGTTGCCACCGCCCTATTTGGAAATACTTTACATTTTTCGCCAATTATTTTGTTAGAAGACAAAAACATGGTTACCAACTGTTCATTTCCAAGTATGAATCAAATTGGACACATTTTTTATAAACAATTTTGTTACGTTAGAATCTTTTTTAGAGTAGGCGGTCAGAAAGGCCGGTGCCAATGACATATTTTGTCCTTGAACTTGAGCAATCATAACTCTTTGGATCGCTTTTATCAAAATTTGGCGTTGTGGGCAGTTACCTGCTTGGCCTTCACCAGAGGCCGGCCTTGCACACAACCTATTCTGTGTAATCAAAACATATACTGGGTAACCTACAACCTTTACAATGTAAGCTACAATGTAAGCTACAACCTATACTCTGTAACCTACAATCTATCCCGTGTCATTTACAACCTATTCAATGCAACCTACAACGTATATTCTGTAACTTAAAACCTATACAGCGTAAACCTACAACCTATACTCTGTTGCTTACAACCTATACAGTGTAAACCTAAAATCAACACAAGGTAACATACAGCCTATACTGTGTAGCCTACAACAGAAGCTGTGTAACCAAGTACCCATACTTTGAAAGGTACAGCCCATACAATGTAACCTACAGTCTATACAATGTAACCTACAGTCTATACTATGTAACACACGCACTATCACACACAAACTGTGTTCTTTGATTGCATTAACAACGTCTGGTAAACACGCATATACAAATATCAAGTAATTCCCTTAAAATAAGTTGATGAAGAAATCGAACAACTGAATTAAAACGTCAATCAATAGCATTAGGCATTTTTGCGTGCTGTGCATCGTCAGGACCAATAATTGGGCCCATTCATCAAATATAAGTGTATCCGATGATGCAATTAATTTATCATTTGGACAAACCGATATTTCTAGATATTATTATTATTATTAACTTTTTGCTTTTTTAGGAAACAGTGGAGTTTTTTTAATTAAGTTATGTTGTTGCATATATAAAGGCTATGCTTTAAATGTATGCACATCGTACACCTAAGATATCAAGTATATTGTTATTTAATCCACACTCATAAAAATAACTCAGTTGATGACCCCAGACTGCTGACTCCTGTATTAAGTACACTCCATAAGCGGTTACAAGGATGTCAGTTTTGTATGAGCCGCCATGACTTCATCGATCCAAGGGTGAGAGGATCTTCGAACGTGGCAACAATGGGCAGGGATGGATTAGATGAGAGAAGATAGTCAAGCGCATGACGGCTGTCTTGGTGGAGTTATAGAAAAGACAGTAAAAAATCTGGTAGCTGTTATGGTAGTTTGATATAAAAGACAGTCAAACATCTGGTAGCTGTTATGGTAGTTTGATATAAAAGACAGTCAAACATCTGGTAGCTGTTTTGGTAGTTTGATGGAAAAGACAGTCAAACATTTGACAGCTGTTTGGTGGGGCAATAGAAAAGACAGGCAGTCGGGCAGTTTTGGTAGCGACTATGAGACCGGGACTATCGGACAGTTTGACTAGCTACCATGGGACTGGCAATGTCGGAAAGTTTCATTAGCTTACCATGTGGCTAAGAATGTCTCACTGTTTCACCAGCTTACCATATGGCTGAGACTGTCTCACAGTTTCACCAGCTTACCATGTGGCTGACACTATCTCAAAGTTTCACCAGCTTACCATGTGGCTAAGAATGTCTCACAGTTTCACCAGCTTACCATGTGACTGACACTATCTCAAAGTTTCACCAGCTTACCATGTGGCTAAGAATGTCTCACAGTTTCACCAGCTTACCATGTGGCTGACACTATCTCAAAGTTTCACCAGCTTACCATGTGGCTAAGAATGTCTCACAGTTTCACCAGCTTACCATGTGGCTGACACTATCTAAAAGTTTCACCAGCTTACCATGTGGCTAAGAATGTCTCACAGTTTCACCAGCTTACCATGTGGCTGAGACTGTATCACCGTTTCACCAGCTTACCATGTGACTGAGACTTTCTCACAGTTTCACCAGCATACCATGTGGCTGAGACTGTCTCACAGTTTCACCAGCTTAACAGGTGGCTTTGACTGTCTTACAGTTTCACGAGCTTAACATGTGGCTGCGACTGTCTCATTGTTTCACCAGCTTACCATGTGGCTGAGACTGTCTCACCAGCTTACCATGTGGCTGAGACTGTCTCACCAGCTTACCATGTGGCTGAGACTGTCTCCCCGTTTCACCAGCTACCACGCGGTTATGACTTTCACTCAAGAAAACCCCCACGGGTTCGCTGGTCTGTCTTAAATCACATTTCACAATCAATATCACGCGCAGTAGGACGAGAAATTTTCCGGGATGACTCAAATAAAATTGATTTCCACCTAGAGGATCTCTGAGCCGTTGTCGCCGTGCTATTGTTGCTGTATAAATTCTGTAGTTTGTGGATACTCGCTCGCCTGCTCAATAATCTGTTGTGTTTGGGAATGTTTGCTGTAAAATGTTCTGTGACGTTAGTTTTTTAAATGGAGGTTGACCGCCATTGAAGATCGGGTGTGCATAAAATATTTATGTTAGAAAGAAAGGCATAAAAAAGGTAACAATTGTCAATGCTAAATAAAGGTAACAATTTTTAATGGAAATAAAGGTAACATTTATCAATTTCTTAATAAAGGTAACAATTTTTTAATGTAAATAAAGCAACAATTATCAATCCTAAATAAAGATAACAATTATCAGTGCTAAATAAAGGTAACAATTATCAATCCTAAATAAAGGTAACAATTATCAGTGCTAAATACAGGAACATTTTTTGAATGTAAATAAAGGTAACAATTATCAATGCTAAATTAAGGTAACAATTATCAAATCTAAATTTGTATTTTGTAGTCACCTTGTCACGGTGTGCATAAAGTGTGTGAAAAATCTATTAACAGTGATTAACAGGCTTGTAAAGTATATAGTGTAATAAAATTGTGAAATTTTTTTTACTGTGAATTATTATTATTATATAATTATTACATAGTGTAAAAACAGTGTGTACATTTTTTAAGAGTAAATATGCTGGGACCGTTTGGTAAAATGTGTATCTTCCAATCTTTGCTGCGTGTTATTAATGTGAGGGGCTAAACAGGAGCCCCGCCCCCACGGCTGGAGAACCTGAATGGTACAGAACCTTTTAGTTAACACTATATTAAACGTCATGGCAACCAAACACATCACGTGGAGCACGCCACTCAATGGATGCCGCGCACAGAAGAGTTTATACAACACAGGCTGATTGGATTTTGGTTGTTTAACAAAAAAAAATAGAAATAATAAGGTCATTGCACATTAAGGTTGTGATTGGAAATGGGAGTATAGCAGTTAATAGCAAATGATTAAAACACATTTTAATGGCTGTATTCCGTCTTTAAAAAACAAACAAACAAAACAAAACATCCCAATAGTGTCAGGTGAGTTGACGAGGGATTCTACGGGATTCTAAAATCTATTGAAACAAGTTTCCAAAAGTCACAGTTGAGGCGGCTGCACTCAACACATTTGTGTCTGTTGCCTCCTGTATTCCAACCCCCCCCCCCCCCCCCCCCCCCNCCAAGTTCATAACACCGCTGCTGAGCAGCCCTTGCAACCAGTGAAGTATCCCCTTGAAAACCATGCACAGTAACATCGCAAACCCCTCTGAAACGAATGAGCCAGAATGATGAATGCATTGATCGTGGGTCCTCAAAACATAGAGGAAGAAGGAGAAACACCCCCCCCCCCACCCTCCCCTCTCTTTGTTTTCGTGTTGGTTTACTTTAAAACAAAATAGTAATATGACAAAACAAGATGAAAAAATATTTCTGTAGCAGAAGAAATGACATATGATGACTTTGTTTTTCTGATAGCCAATTGGTTAATTGGGGACATCCTCAATAGTTAAGAAAATCATCCATCTAATACTTAATTTCTTCTTCCTTTCTAAGTTGAAGCCAAAGATTTCCATCGACAAGAGCTCATCCAAGTCAAAGCAAGATATCACAAATTGACCTCCACAACATTTTACCAAAAAAAAAAAAAGAAAAAAATAACCTTACTTCCATCTAATACTTAATTTCTTCTTCCTTTCTAAGTTGAAGCCAAAGATTTCCATCGACAAGAGCTCATCCAAGTCAAAGCAAGATATCACAAATTGACCCCCACAACATTTTACCAAAAAAAAAAAAAAGGATGAAATAACCTTACGATGCCAACCAGCAGCCAATTACCAAACACACCTTGCAGTATCAGGTGCTGCCATTAGAAATCCAATCACATTTGAAACGTTCAGAGAACCATATCTTCAAACACTATTTCTTACCTTCAAGAAACTTCATTGCGCTGAGAACCTGACCATTTAAAAAAATAATAAAATAACTGCGCTTTAAGACTGTGAAGATTGATGACACTCTAATCAATTGCACATGTTATAAAAAGAATACAAACTCTTAGATGGTTTTAGAGGTAAAGCGTCAGATTTAAGTCTTAGCCCTTCCACTGGCTGATCTTGGAAACGGCTCTACGTGCCCGGAAGTAGCGGTCTGGCCTCATGGAAGTAGCTTTCTGGTCTTATAGAAGTAGCGGTCTGGTCTTATATAAAGTAGGTGTTTGTTCTTACAGAAGTAGCTGTTTTGTCTCATAGAGCTAGCTGTATGGCCTTATAGAAGTGGCTGTCTTGTCCTAGACTCAGCTGCCGCGGAGGGGGGGAGTAGCTGTGTGGTCGTGGAAGTAGCCGCCTGGCGGGGGGAGATAGCCGGCTGACCTTGAATGCAATCCATCCGTTGACGTCCCTGTGGGTCATCTCATGCCAGTCACCAAACATAAACTTGACATCGTCGACGCCAGGGCCAACGACATTATGGCCTGCTCAGAGTCTACCAAGGTTTGCCTCAAGTTCACCATCGTTTTCCTCAACATCCCGATCATCGTAAGTCATCGCGCCGTCTGGCCAGAAGTCTAAATGCGCAGTGCACATGATCAATTTTTCGTGAACTTTGCTTCAAATTTCTACTTTGAACGCCCTATTTTGTTTTTAATAAATAGTGCGTTCAAAAAGGAATCCGGCGAAAATTCGACGAAAATTTGATCGTGTGAACTGAACATAAACAAAACCAACTCCAAATTTCAAACCCATTATTTTATGCACCCGAATTCCTACTAATCATAAAATTAATCTTTTAACTAAAATATTAATTTCAAAACAGTTAATTTATTCTTTAGGCTGTTAAAACAATTATTTCTTTCTTTTAAACATTTAAATTCTTTTTTTTTTTTTTAGATTATTGGCGCCGTTTCGCTTGGCGTAGGGGTCTGGGTCATCGTTGACGACACGTCCTTCTTCGACCTTGCCGCCAGCGTCCTTGACCTCNGGCCTCTTTACATGGGGCTAACTTCCCAGTTTGTAGAGGCCTCTTTACATGGGGCTAACTTCCCAGTTTGTAGAGGCCTCTTTACATGGGGCTAACTTCCCAGTTTGTAGAGGCCTCTTTACATGGGGCTAACTTCCCAGTTTGTAGAGGCCTCTTTACATGGGGCTAACTTCCCAGTTTGTAGAGGCCTCTTTACATGGGGCTAACTTCCCAGTTTGTAGAGGCCTCTTTACATGGGGCTAACTTCCCAGTTTGTAGAGGCCTCTTTACATGGGGCTAACTTCCCAGTTTGTAGAGGCCTCTTTACATGGGGCTAACTTCCCAGTTTGTAGAGGCCTCTTTACATGGGGCTAACTTCCCAGTTTGTAGAGGCCTCTTTACATGGGGCTAACTTCCCAGTTTGTAGAGGCCTCTTTACATGGGGCTAACTTCCCAGTTTGTAGAGGCCTCTTTACATGGGGCTAACTTCCCAGTTTGTAGAGGCCTCTTTACATGGGGCTAACTTCCCAGTTTGTAGAGGCCTCTTTACATGGGGCTAACTTCCCAGTTTGTAGAGGCCTCTTTACATGGGGCTAACTTCCCAGTTTGTAGAGGCCTCTTTACATGGGGCTAACTTCCCAGTTTGTAGAGGCCTCTTTACATGGGGCTAACTTCCCAGTTTGTAGAGGCCTCTTTACATGGGGCTAACTTCCCAGTTTGTAGAGGCCTCTTTACATGGGGCTAACTTCCCAGTTTGTAGAGGCCTCTTTACATGGGGCTAACTTCCCAGTTTGTAGAGGCCTCTTTACATGGGGCTAACTTCCCAGTTTGTAGAGGCCTCTTTACATGGGGCTAACTTCCCAGTTTGTAGAGGCCTCTTTACATGGGGCTAACTTCCCAGTTTGTAGAGGCCTCTTTACATGGGGCTAACTTCCCAGTTTGTAGAGGCCTCTTTACATGGGGCTAACTTCCCAGTTTGTAGAGGCCTCTTTACATGGGGCTAACTTCCCAGTTTGTAGAGGCCTCTTTACATGGGGCTAACTTCCCAGTTTGTAGAGGCCTCTTTACATGGGGCTAACTTCCCAGTTTGTAGAGGCCTCTTTACATGGGGCTAACTTCCCAGTTTGTAGAGGCCTCTTTACATGGGGCTAACTTCCCAGTTTGTAGAGGCCTCTTTACATGGGGCTAACTTCCCAGTTTGTAGAGGCCTCTTTACATGGGGCTAACTTCCCAGTTTGTAGAGGCCTCTTTACATGGGGCTAACTTCCCAGTTTGTAGAGGCCTCTTTACATGGGGCTAACTTCCCAGTTTGTAGAGGCCTCTTTACATGGGGCTAACTTCCCAGTTTGTAGAGGCCTCTTTACATGGGGCTAACTTCCCAGTTTGTAGAGGCTTCTTTACACGGGTCTAACTTCCCAGTTTGTAGAGGCCTCTTTACACGGGTCTAACTTCCCAGTTTGTATAGGCCTCTTAACGCAATTCTAACTTCCCAGATCTAAGTAAATCTTGTAACGTCCACTTCCAGTATGTCGTGGCGCTGATCTTCTTGCTGACACTGGAGGTTGCTGTCATTATCCTGGGAGTCGTCTTTAAATCTGAGGTCAGTGAGCGTGAAACATTTGTTTAGGTGCTAACAAATTTTTAGCAGCTGTTTTTGTTTATTTTTAGTAACCGTAGCAACGCTATACTCCTGCCCCCCCCCTCCCCCTTACCTGCTTTCAGTTATTTATTGAAGCATTGCTAGACCCCAGTGGCCAATGTACTCAAAACTCACTGCATGAATAGTAAAGATGCACCATATGATAACACTACACCCACTTTTCCGAAGCTTATGTATTGCCTAAACCATCCGCCTTGGGTGATAAAACTTCAATAGTATAAATTTAATCTAATTTTTATTGAGTTTTAAAAAAAATTATTTGAAATGAAGGGAAACAACTGGAAATTTCTATTACTTCCCTTTTTTGTATTTGCAGAGTTACCTTTTTTTAAGTTTGTTTAAATTTTTGTTTACTATTATCAAACATTCATTTGTAAGTACGATTACAAATTTAAAAAAAAAGGACAACCAAAAATTTAATCTAGTCTATATATATATATATATATATATATATATATATATATATATATATATATATATGGAAAAAGAAAGAGAGAATATAGAGAGAAAAAGAGAGAAAAAGAGAGTGAATATGAGAGAGAATAAGATACAAAAAAAGAGAGACAGAGAGAAAAGAGAGAAAATAAGAGAGAGATAAAAAGAAAGAGAGAATTTAGAGAGAAAAAGAGAGAAAAAGAGAGTGATTATGAGAGAGAATAAGATACAAAAAAAGAGAGACAGAGAGAAAAGAGAGATAATAAGAGAGAGATAGAGAGAGAGAGAGAGAGAGATGTAGCTCGAGAGATGGACAAGGAGTGTGAGAGGGAAAGAGCGAGATCAAGAGAACACAGACATGTATATGCTACATCCGATGTCATGTGGCAAATGTTCTCCGATTCTTTCATCACATTTTCTCAGTGGGAGAAGAAAGCCGACTCTTTGGTGACTAGTCGTCTCATGTCCCAATATGGTAATGAAGATGACGCAACATTGGGACCTTTTACAAGAACTGTCAATGCCCTACAGAAAAAGGTAAATTAAAAAAACAAAAGCAAAAAAAAAAACAACTCCAGGCCCATTTTTTATTTAAAATAGAAACTTTCGTCTGTACTCATTTTCTGCTCGCTAAGGCCCACCAAGAATGGCAGTTGCAATTCCTGCAATGTGACACCTTTCCATCTACTAAAATTATTTGACCAAAAAATGCATCCAAGTAATGCCTTTATAAAGTCTCAATTAGAGCCTCCCCCTCCCCAGCATGGCACCGCCCCTGAGCTGTATTAATATTCTAATGTCCCACACAACCTCCCCCCCCCACCACTGCTTTTTTACCGCAGATTTATCACACCAACTATTTCCGTAAAACAAAACAAAAAAATTACGCACCAAACGTACTTGAAGTATTTTTAAGAATCTAATTTTGCGTAGTTATCGGAAAATGTATTTAGTGAAATCAGCGCCATTATACTAACACATTTATATGGACTGGACCGTTTTTTGTAGTTACGATTTGTTAAAAAAAAACTTTCTGACGACCACCTTCAGCTTCGTTGCTGTGGATGGGAGGGGGGCGCCGACTACAGCAAAGTGGACAGAGCCCACTGGAACACGACCCTGGCGAAGGGTCAGCAGAGAACAGTGCCCGACTCGTGCTGCCCCAATGCCCCCAACGCCACATGGACGCAGGACTGTGCTGTCAGTCCTCTCAACAGCACCTACTACAGCTCGCAGGTAACCTGTACTATGTGTCGTATTGGGTTACCGGAAATTTGTTTGAAACTGTCGCCCTTCCATTAAAAGAAAAAACAAACTGTGTCCCACGGGGTGGATCGCCTTCTCCGGACCTTCCTTTTCTACGCCCCTGCACTGTCCATTGTTTTTGTTTTCTTAAAAAAAAAAAAAAAAACCCTTAACTTACCTTACCTTGATTCTCTTACGACCTCAAGTATTTGTCAAAACCTTTTATTTCAATGATCTATTTATATCTCTCCCCCCCCCCCCACTCTCAGGGTTGCCGGGCCATGATAGAGACGGAGTTCAAAACCTATCAATGGGTTGTCATAGGCGTCACCATCGGAGTCTTAGCTTTTCAGGTTTGTGCTTAGGTTTCAGCGATCAAACAACAGCAAAAAACAATATCAATGAAAATAAACTCTTAGTTGTTGCATCTTAGTATCCGAGATGACGTAATACTGTTTTTATTGTTGCTTGTTCGCTGAAGAAGGCTTCTTGCCGACACATTACGTCATTTTTTTTCAGGTTGTCCCATATTTTTTCTGCTCATTTTCTTACATAGATATGTATAGGTATGGCCTTATAAAAGTGTGTACAGGTATTGCCTTATAAAAATGTGTATAAGTACGGCCGTATAAAAAGTGTATAGGTACGGCCTTATAAAAGTGTGTACAGGTATGGCCTTATAAAAGTGTGTACATGTATGGCCTTATAAAAGTGTGTACAGGTATGGCCTTATAAAAGTGTATATAGGTACAGCTTTATAAAAGTGTGTACAGATACTGCCTTATAAATAAAAATGTGTATAGGTACTGCCTTATACAAAAGTGTATAGGTACGGCCTTATAAAAGTGTGCACAGGTATGGCCTTATAAAAGTGTGTACAGGTATGGCCTTTTAAAAGTGTGTAAATGTACGGCCTTATGAAAGTGTTTATTTGTACAAACTTATAAAAGTGTGCATAGGTACGGCCTTATAAAAGTGTGTACAGGAACGCCCTTTTAACACTGTGTTCCAAAATTCAGCCCCGTTTTGTATCCCCCCCCCCTCCCCCCCCCCAACCATGCACGCTGTATTAAAATTGCTCTAATCTATTTCTCCAGCTTCTCGTCATCATCATGGCCCTGGTTCTGGTGGTCCATAACGTCAACAATAAATACGACATGAGCTGAGGAGGTGCAACGTCTTCTCATCGATAAACTGTTTGAGTGAGAAAGTAGGACCTACAGGATCTTCTAGTCGATAAACTGATTGAGTGAAAGTTAGGACGTGCAGGATCTTCTAGTCGATAAACTGATTGAGTGAAAGTTAGGATGTGCAGGATCTTCTAGTCGATAAACTGATTGAGTGAAAGTTAGGATGTGCAGGATCTTCTAGTCGATAAACTGATTGAGTGAAAGTTAGGATGTGCAGGATCTTCTAGTCGATAAACTGATTGAGTGAAAGTTAGGACGTGCAGGATCTTCTAGTCGATAAACTGATTGAGTGAAAGTTAGGACGTGCAGGATCTTCTAGTCGATAAACTGATTGAGTGAAAGTTAGGATGTGCAGGATCTTCTAGTCGATAAACTGATTGAGTGAAAGTTAGGATGTGCAGGATCTTCTAGTCGATAAACTGATTGAGTGAAAGTTAGGATGTGCAGGATCTTCTAGTCGATAACCTGATTGAGTGAAAGTTAGGATGTGCAGGATCTTCTAGTCGATAAATTGATTGAGTGAAAGTTAGGATGTGCAGGATCGTCTTGTCGATAAACTGATTGAGTGAAATTAGGACGTGCAGGATCTTCTAGTCGAGAAACCCAAGGCGTGGCAGGATGACATAACACATGAATGAGTGTTTAAGGGGTCTACTGGTCGACAAACGGATGGAGTGAAAGTAGGATGAGCCAGTGCCGTCTTAAGGAATGGGCGCAAGGACAGTTGCTCAGGTCCTCACGCTTCTAGAGGATAGGAAAAGGGGGGGGGGGCCTCAAGCTTCAAAAGGGCCTTTTGTTTCTAGGAGCATCAAGTTGCCCATATTTTTTTAAAAATGATTATATGTATTGAACGATTTTTGGGCAAATAAATTTGGAGTTTTGGTTATGCTGTTTTTATTCATTAAATTCATTAATTTATTTTGTGAAAAAAAACTTAATGTGTGTATGTGGTGAAACATTAACATCCTGGTTTACGTTATATGCGAATATCTTCTATATCGGCGGTTCTCAAGCTGTGGGTAGAAAGGGTTGCCTAAGACCATCGGAAAACAAGTATTTATGAAGTAGCAACGAAAATAGTTTTAATGTTGGGGGGGGGGGGGTCACCACAGCATGAGGAGCCGCATTATAGGGTCGCGGCATTAGGAAACCTTGAGAACCACTGTTCTATAGGTAATGTCTTTCTCCACCATTGCACCAAAGCGAATCCATTCAAATATAAACTTTCTTGACGCTATCGTTCCGATCATGTCATCGCCAGACTCTCACGGATTACAACCAGAAGCCTCACCACCGTTGACCGAGACTCTGTGCCTTGACTGCAAACACCACTAACGTTGCTTTGACCTTCCAATGGCGTTTAGTGATATGTGCCACCCAGCCTGTACATCAAATGCCAAATTAAAAAAAAGAAAATAGACAATCTAAATAATGATTACATATAAACAATCATTGCAATAAAAACAATGATTACAATCTTAAAATGATTACAGTCTGAACTATGATTACAATCTAAACCATGATTACAATCTAGGCAATGTTTACAATGTAAATAATGATTAAAAACTAAATGTTTATTGTAATCTTTTAAATAATAATTACAATCCGAGATATCCTAATTATATCCGAGGGCAAATAATGTATTTTCTCAAACATGAACTTCGTCCGTCAACCTGGCGATTTCGGATGTAAAGGAAATATTTGCTCACTTTTGAAACTGTTTCTATTTTTGTTGAAAGATTACAACCCCCCCCCCCCCCCCCCAGCCTACCCTAAACACACATTAAAGTCAAAACTTCTTGAAAATGTCACTGCCTGCCTTTGTTCCCTTTATATAACCTAGTCAGCTCCATCTGACAATACAGTTTTTTTTTTTTTAAAACATGGCACATCCATTTTTAAGACCCGACAAAGACAGCCTAAAAGACACAGTTTACTTTGTCTTATTCAACTAATTTTTTTAATTGAATCGAATTTTTAGCAGTCTGTTAAAAAATATGTTTTTTTTAAATACAATTTAATTAAATCAGTCGATAAATTAAAAAAAAATTAATAATATGTAAGTAACAAAACCTAATCTCATGGTAGTATCAAGTATCAATTGTTTTAAAAGATAAAATCCATTGAACGGATTCGTACCAGCTACACCGCCTTGAGTACAGGAGGGCATTTTCAAGCATACATCTAGAGGAGTAAATAAGGCGAACGAATTATTCAAACAAGAAAACTCCCCACACGGATATTCCACAGACGATGATCCCTGGCTTGAAGAATGCCCACACAGAAAACTCACCACACGGATATTCTTCACATTCTTCACATTCTATGTGTGGGTGTGTATTTTTTTCCCGCAAGTGCATTATGGGTGTAAAACGCAAAAGAAAACTGTACTGTCGCCCCAGAGTTAGACAAATAAAAATTGTAAGATTAAAGAAAAAAAAAAATTATTGCGATTGGTGGAATTTTTAACAATGTATCCTATTATTATAATGCATAAAGTGGTCTCATGTAGCGCGGTACCCCAGCCTAGGGCTAGGCTCACCGCACTTCACATCAAACATTAGCTAAAAGAAAATAAAGACACATGACATTAAAAAGCAGTAAATTAAAATTATTCATGTAAAAACAGCTGTGTATCAAGCTCTAGCCACGGACGGCAAACATCAGCACCAAGCGTTCTTCATCGGTCAGAGCGGGGGGAGAATCAGTCGTAATATGCGATTTTGAAGAGATGTGTCTTGTTGAAGAGTATTTCGATGTTTAGGGTATTTTTATGTTTAGAGTATTCTATTACTTAAGCTGTCGTGGGCCTGAACCAAAGGCGATATTTAAATTTAGATAATTTTTTTTTCTCTGCATTTCAGATGTCGCATTATAGTGTGCATATAAAAAAAAAAGCTGTGTGTCTCTGATTCTTCTTTAAAAAAGTGAATGGGGAGGACTGCAATCAGGTTGAATCATTAAGAAATATAAAGGGCATGTTATGGTGAACCCTGAATTTTTAATTTTTTTTTTATGTCTCCAAGACTCGCACAAAAACATACGGCGAACGATCGATCTCTTTCTGTGCCCCCAAACAATGGATTTCTCTTCCATTACACATCCACAATATATCGACCATCACAGCCTTCAAAACTGCACTCAAAACACATCTTTTTTAAACGCTACTATCCTGACTGATTCCCGCCTCTGACCGAAAAACGATGCTGCTGTGTGTCGTCCATGGCTTGACATGCAAATAGTTTTAAATATAAATTTGTCTTGTTTTATTTAATTAATGTATGTGAATTAATTTTTTAAAGTTTTTGATTATGTTTGTTAAATTGTATGTACAGCGTGGTGAGCCCAGCCCTAGGCTGGGGTACCACGCTATATAAAACAAATTATAATAATAATACCTCAAGCAAAAGGAAGGCAATGATGACTTGTCTAATTGAAGCCTTAAAAAACAGTAGCCTCTCAACAAGTGTGTATGCATATTATTTTAATTGTATTAGCATTAGTATTTGTGTTACAAATGCAACCATTATAAGATCCCATCATTAACACAAATCTGTACAGCGTTTTCGCCTACTGTTATCATTGAGTTTTGGAAAGTTACATTCAGTTTGCACACTAAAACGGGTAAACCGGTAGAGCGCACTTTGCGCGGCGCAGCATCGAGGCTACTGATTTTGTGACGCACCGGAAGAAAACTTTTTTAACTGTCATTCTCGATGGCGTGCTCTTACCACGCAGTCTTGGAGTCGGATTCTAGCCTAGTAGTGTTCAAGCCCCGCCATGATTTAGCCAAGCTGTGATTATAGCTGAGCCATCATATAGCCAAGCTGTGATTATAGCTAAGCCATCGGCTATTGTTGCCCATCGGCTATTGTTGAGACTAATACCCATGACGTCATTTGCGTATTTAATAAATATTTGTGCATGAGTTATTCCCCTTTATTCATTTTATAATTGGTGGAACTGATGATGACGTGTTTCCTATTAAAATTTGAATTGGTTTTTAATTGGTTGCTTATTTATAATCTTAAAATATCATTGGTTGGCCTAGTACCGGCAGTTGTGCTGCTACCATCTTTTCAACATGTTTGCCTAGTGCCGGCAGTTGTGCTCCTATTATTTGGGCATATTTTTTTTATTTGGAACCTGTAATGAAGTGTGTAAAAGTGGATTAAAAGTGTATTTCATCAAACTGTAAGTTGGGTTTTCATTATTTCTTGGTTTTATAATTATTTTTGTGTTCATTTTCAAATTCCATGTGTTTTTTTTACGGCTGCTAACCGTTGCTGCTTACTTGTGGCCTTAGGCTTTGGGTTAGGTTCAGAAATGCATGGTAATGAACGATTTTAAAAAGCAACAAAAAACAATGAAATTTTCAAATGATGATAATTCGTTATTTTACTCACTCTTTACACTTAACGAATCAAGATTTTCAAGTACCATATACGAAAATTAATTGGGGAGGGGTTCTGCTGGGGAGGGGGCACCCCTCCCCAGATAATTTATTTGTTTCTGATTTTGGTATTTACAGTGGGGGAGGGGTCTGGGGAGGGGGTTTTCCCTCCCCAGTCGTTTCATAACACGTGTTTTGCACTACGTTTTGGCCGTTATCTTGGTTGACACTTCACGTGGAGCGTCAACTGAGATGGCGGCCATGACGGGAAACCCCGGGTATCAATCTCAACATTTACCCATGACGTCATTTAAGCGATCATTTAACTTAATGGGTTCAGGCTAGGTACAGGCATAGATTTAGGTTCCTGTTAGGTATAGGGGTAGGTTTAGGATTAAGGTTAGGTTTAGATTAGGGTTCAGGTTAGGTTTAGGGATAGGTTTAAGGGGACCTTTCATGAGTCGGGGCAACCAAGATGGCGGCCGTGGCACCGAAGAACCTTCTCTCTTGAAGTACTTGAAATAAAGTAAAAGTTCAACTACGATAGTGAAGTCGAGATAAATACAAAGGAGTCAGTGGGGAAACTAATTAATTAGATGGCATGTTGACAATGTTTTATTGGTTCACATTCAGTTAAGATGTAAAAATATTTTTAAAAATCGCTTCTTTGAATGTCATGAATTTCTCTTATACAATACCATGACACATAACACGTTTGGTTTAACTGTTTATTTGTGTCTGTCAA